GGGGCGCGGCGGCGAACCGTTTGTGACCCGTCCCTGCCCCGGGCCGTGCAGCGGGCGACTGCGCGGGAGCGCTCGTCCCTGCGCTCCGCAGCCACAACGGAGCTGCCGTTCCTCCGTGTGAAGCGGAGGGGATTGCTTACCCTCTGCTCCGGGGAAGTAGAGGATGAAAACGGTTTAAAACTTTACCGCTGCGTAGAAACGCTCGTGATGTAACGGGGTTGTGTTGCTCCGTTTTCTCTTTCATGGCACTGCAATAGGAACAGCTTCTACGTGCTCTCGATTTCCGCAACCAGTTCTGTTCTCGCCCCTACTTACCGTCACACATCATACCTCCAGAGAGAAAAAAGGTGAGAGTTAACACATGCGTAATGCTTTTGTAAAATCAGCTTCCCTGGTAGTCTGACAGAGCGGACTCATCGCTTCACGCTCATGTGTGTGAGTACAGGCCTGGAAGATCTATGGGCTAATTAGTTTGGCTAATGCATTCGTCAACTTGATTACTTGAGTACTGCCATTTTAAATTACAGTTTTGACTGTTCCTTAGTCTTCTATTTATGCATATCCTTTGTAGCCAAACAACAAAGAGTTTGCTTACTCTTACTGAGGCTAAACCCTAGGATTTTATATGTGTGATAGAATGAGCCAGTTTACGTATCGTTGCTTTTCTGCACGCAAAACCTTTCAGGAAAATCTCAGTGAAATAGGAGGGTGTTTTCTGAGAGGTTCAGAACCCGGTGGTTTCCCCACAGAAGTACCAGTGTGAGTCCCTAACGGGAGGCCCACCAGAGGACTGGAGCAGTGTCACTCTGCAGGAACATCAGCTCCAGCGCAGGCTGGCGGGTGCAGAGACACCCCTCGTGCCATTTCTAGGGGCTGTACATGTGAGCACACCCCGGCTCTGCCCGCTGAGTGCACACACGTGTGGTGGGAGTCTTAAGACAACAGATAAATCAGGTGAGTTTTAAGGTTTAAAACTTTCAGACTGACACTTCGTTAGTAACATGCATGGTGCTAATGTTTAGTTGCTGAAAACACTACCGGTCAGCATCTCTACATACTTCTCAGCAGTCAGCCCTCAGCAGTCACACTGTGTGGTCACTGCAGGGCGCAGCGGCACAGAGCCGATGCTCCATCCTCGTTAGCGCTCTGGGGTAACCCTCCGCCCTCCCGCAGGCCAGGATCTCCTCCTCCTGGAAGATGGCTGGGTTTCCAGGTAGTTTCTCACTTCCAGCCTCCAGGTGTTGAGGGATAACTTCCCCAGGCCATAGCAAGTGCCTTTTCCTGTTGCTTGGCCTTTTTTTTCCCCTTTCTTTTTTTTTTTTTTTTTTTCCAAATCCCCCTGGGTTTATCAGCTGCTGCTTTTCTTAAAGCAAAAGCCGCCTTTTTGTAACTCTTGAGATTGTACTTCTTCGGTAATTCATTATCCCTTTATTGTTCTGCAACCTCTATTTTCAACCAGTGCCTATATTTTCAAAGCCTCTGCTATTTCCCACACTTCATCAGTCCGCTATAACGAGGTACTGGTTATGGAGCTCCCATTCACTCAGCACCTTGTCATAACAAGTTGGTAATGAGCCAGCCTGGGGCCGTGCACAGTTAGCTGATGGCCTGTGACTTGCTACTAGAAGTGACGATC